CCTATTAGATTTGAGATATGTGAATTAGAGATGGAGAATGATTTATGGTTTCCTTTTCTGATTTTTATGTTGCCTATATATACATGGGTTCATGTATATTTTAGGAGAGACCTTTGGAAAAGAAAAGGAATATATTTTTTCTCTCTCTATATTTTAGGGTTTGCTTTCTCATCTAATGGAGGCTCCCACAAGCCTAATTTTCCAAGGTCATTCATGGAGGCTTATGGTTAATTCCAAAAGGCAAGACCATTACCAAGAAGATGGAGATCCAAGGAGAAGACATCTAGTAAAGGGATCTACAATAAGTGAGAACATTCACTTTAGAGGAGAGATTTAAGATTTACTTAAACCTTTGATGTAAGTGTTCAATCTATTAGTTGAATGATACATCATATTATTATTTTCGCATAAAACTTGTGATGAATCAAGATCTATGAGTCAAAATCCCCCGAAAAGTTTTTAAAACTTGCACGTTTCCCAACATAAACGGGTTAGAGAAACAACAAAATAAAATTATGACTTTTCCACATTTCTTGATCATGCTATTGTGTCTAGTACACTCTCTTAGTAAAATGAAATAACATACTTGAGGCCAACTCTACTGTGTTTGTAATGTGGCACAATAGACAGACATGAGAAGAAATAAAAAAAAAAATGGTTTTCTAGATGTGGCTCCTAATTGTGCAAAAATTAGCTGTTTTTGAGCGTGTCACACTCACTAGTATGCTAGTCTTAACCAATTTATTCACTAATTTTCATATAATTCGTTAAAACTAATTAGGAACTTTTTACCAATTTAATGGCTCAAAAGGGATACTAATGGCAATGAGAACAAGAAATAGAGGAATTGAGAGACAAAAAAATCAGATTTATTTGACAAACAAGACACATAGGAATATAAACACAAAAAGATTATTTGAAATTTCAAAGGCTAGATGTGGTATTTGAGAAAAATAATCATTTACCTATAAAGTCAAGGTTAGAATGTCACATCTTTTAATATTGGAATGAACTTTAGGAAAATAGAGTGGGAATAAGCTTTTCTTCTTTAAAAGACAAAAATAAAGAAATGAAGAGTTATTACCATAATTAATTAAGTTTTCTATAATTAAACATTTTATTTTCACACCCAAAGAAAACAAATATTTGGTAAACTAAAGGAAAATGATATTATTGACGACTTTAATTCCCCGACTTAAAATCGACAAATATAAAAATATGACGTGGTTATTCCAAATTTCAACTTAAATAGTATCATTACTACTTCCGTTTGTTTCCATAAAATACTCCCTTTCCCTTTTCCTTTCCCTTTCCCTTTTCGTATCTTTTCAGTTTTCTATAGCCCCTTTCCATTTCTTCTTTTTATTTTATTTTTCTAAGTAAGTTTCAAGGTACTCAAATTTAATAATTAGATTTGTACAAAATCTAGAGTAAAAACTGCAATATTTTGTAATTTTTCAATGCTTTCGCAATTTTTTTTTAAAATTTTTTTTTTTCTTCTTGTCTTTGTTTTTGGGAGTTCGATAGATCATTAACTTTAATCAATATAGCAATTAACAAATTCCAATCAAAGTAATAGATAAATATTAATAATCAAAAACACAATTAAAGTATCTCAATGGTCCTTACAGAGATTCAATTTGAAATATAAAATAAATATACATATACATAGTGGTTGAAACTTTAATTTCCAACAAAGATACTAGATTAAGATAAACTTATAAAAAAATAAGATTACAACTTTCCAAATAGTCAATTACCATGTATTTTATAATGGTATATTTGACACATGGGTAGCCACATAGACTCGGTGAAGTAGTAGATTTTTATTTGTCGTGCCAAATAGCATGACTCTAAATGTTAAGAAATTAGGAAGGTCTTACACATTTAGAATAGTATAGATATAGATATAATTTTTTTTTTAGGTAAGTAAATTTTATTTGTTCTTTGTTCTTTGTTTTCCAACCATTCCATCAATTGGCATCAAAATGTTCACAAATCCCAATAAAATTTGGATCAGCCTAGACGTGAGTTGTCCTCGGTTAATCTAGCAGTACTCAAAAACTAAAACCAATGCAATCAAGAATTGGTTTAAGGTTCTGAGAACGGTATTCATATTTTATATTAAGAAATGTAGAAATAATTCAATAGCAAGTTCTAAAATCAAATTGAATAAGTTGAGGATGTGTTACAAGGTGTACCAAAAGAATTCTGATGTTAGAAATTTGAATTAGCACATCTCACCATTATTTAAGGAAATTACAGCACATCACAACTAAATTCATACCTCGAATTAGCAAAAATTGGTTTAAGATTTTAGTGGTGATGAGCATCGATTTAACACTATAAATATCTTCCAAAGAAGATTAGAATTTCACCAAATTCATTCTATTCAACAAATTCAAAAAAAGAAGATGGGTTTGAGATTAAGTCTTAAGACAATTTCTCTGCTGCTAATTCTAGCACGTGTTGCACAAGGAGCCGTTTATGATGTAACAAAATTTGGTGCCAAGCCCAATGCAGATATTAGACAGGTGAGTGCTATACACACACACACACACACACACATATATGATGTTCTAGTCCTATGAACTTAAATAATTTTGTTTACAATCACTCGTTACTCATTCTTGATTTTTAGGCTCTTTTGACTGCTTGGAGAATGGCATGTGGAACGAGAACTGCAAGCACAATTATAATTCCAGCAGCCACATTTTCGTTAAGTCAGCTACTTCTTCAAGGTCCTTGTGGTGCCCCTATTGGGATTGAGCTCAAAGGCATCCTGAAGGCCCCTCCTCTCAATCAAATCAAAGCTGATGCCTGGGTTGTTTTCCAGAAAGTTGACCGCTTAAGCCTATCAGGTGGTGGAACTTTCGATGGCATGGGTGCCGAAGCTTGGAAAACTTGTGTCCCAAAGAAAAAATGCCCTCCACGTCCTTCTGTAAGTAGATTCATATAAATATTTATATATGTATACATATATATAATACATTTGCTTCCGAAATTTCAAACTTTAAATAATTTTGTTCCATATATGTAATTTTCCTTAATGAGTTGTATGTTGTCTTTGTGACTGGATGATATATAACATGCAGGGTGTACGGTTCAACTATGTAAACAATTCTATGATCAATGACATAACTTCCAAGGACCCCAAAATGTTTCATATTACTGTTTTCGGAGGCACTAATGTGACTTTTCAAAGACTTACCATCGTTGCACCAGAAGATAGCAGGAACACTGATGGACTCCACATTGCACGTACAAGCAACATAAAAGTCCTTGATTCAAAAATAGGAACCGGGGATGACTGCATATCATTTGGCGATGGTGCCCAAAATATTCACATTGAAAAGGTGAAATGTGGACCTGGTCATGGCATCAGCATTGGAAGTCTCGGCAAGTACCCAAGTGAACAACCTGTTTCTGGAATTACAGTTAAGGACTGCACCCTCTCTAGGACAATGTATGGAGCAAGAATAAAAACATGGCGTGGATCCCCTCCTAGCACCGCCTCTGATATTCGTTTTGACGGCATTACCATGGACAATGTTGCAAACCCCATCATCATCGATCAAGAATACTGCGATGCAAGATTTAAATGCCCAGCTAAGGTACTTAGACTTGGACTAAAAATCAATCAATTTTATTATTATTTTTTTATATTGTTTTCTTTTTCAACAAACAAAGAAATTTAACAATTTCATTGATTTGCTAATCATTTTCGATGTTTAATTTCAGCCTCCATCTAAAGTTAAGATCAGCAAAGTGAGCTTCAAAAACATTAAAGGCAGCTCCAAAACCCCGGCTGCTGTCAAGCTTCTTTGTAGCAAGGATGTGCCATGCGAAAATGTGGAGTTTGGTGACATTGAGCTGACCCATAATGGAGGCCCTGCCAAGTCCGAAATTACAAATGTTAAGCCAATTGCTTGTGGCAGAGTAAATCCTGCACTGGGAAGAGCTTAATCTTCTTGGTTCTAATCAACTCCAAAGGAAGGTTGAACAAAAGTTTTTTAGTGAGTCGCTAATTAATTTATTTTCTCCTATTCATGCTAAATGCATGATATTAATGTTGACAAAAGCAGTGTATTGTTTATTGATAAATAAACACTTCTTGGATTTATCTAAACGGCCTCATAATTGAAAATTATAAAATTATTCAATTCATATTGTTATGTCAGTTTCTTTTTTCAGATGTACGTTTGGATTGAGGTTATTATCCTTGAGACCTCATCATTGCGACTTTTGCTAGTTTTGCTTGAAGAGAGTACGATTCATCATTCCTGCCACATAAAATTTCCTTAAAAGAAAATGATGTAAACGTATACACAAATTTATATATAAGCACATATATATATAGTCATAAACCATTTAGTTGACTAAGAAAAAGTACTCTGTTATTGAATGCCTCTAAATACTGGTTATGCATTTTGATCAAATATTAAAACCAAAGAAAAGATATGATCATGTCAATTCCTTTTTAACTAAGTTTCCTAAGCTGCAATCTCATTCCATGAGATTAGTTGAAGTAGCAGGTGATACACCTCCAAGTTTTGCAACATCCAATTAACATGACCTTGGTAAAATATTACAAAGAAGATGGGGAGATTGATGGTGATGTACTAAGTAGGATTGAAGCCAACTGGACAAAATAGAGGCTAGGTTGTGGTGTCCTTTATAACAAACGAATACCAAAAACATTATAACCAAAAAAAAAATTGTATGGAGTGGAGTGTTGAAAAATAAATAAAAAACATTACATGGGAACATTAGATATTAGCGGCTATAAATAATAAAAATAGAGAAAGTACACTTAGGTGGTAAAGTTATATCAACCAAGGCCAGATGATGCACCTTTTAAAAGTATAAGAGTTGTTTGCTTAAGAAGGTAACATACAAAGGGCCAGGAAAAATAGAAGATCCAAATTTTTTTTATTGATTCTCTTTAAAAATTTTGTATTCCCTTTATTCAATCAATCCTTTATTTTTACCCTTAAAAGTTTTCTCATTTTTTTTATTTTTATTTTCTTCATCTTTTTATTTTTTTCTTCATTTGTTTTTATTATTGTAGTTAAATGAGAGACTTTGTTTGTACTCCCTGTGCGAGTACATCCACCTGTTGAACTGGTGCCACCACTCTAGCTTCCTCTGGTTGCACTGGAACCTCTAAACCCTGTTCCTCCTGTGGTGCTGGAATATCCTCTCCAGCTTCCTCCTGTTGTCCATAATCTTCTACTTCTGCTCCCTCCTGCTGAGCTGGAGCATTCACCCCTGCTCCTCCATTCTGAATCATATGCTCTAAGTTCCTCACAGAGTCATTTAAAGCTGCAACCATATCAGCTAACTCTGCCGTAGTGAGTCTATGGTGACCTTCGCCTCTACCTCTACCTCTACCTCTGCCTCTGCCTCTGCCTGACATCTTCCCTCTAATTAAGGATAACAGCAGTATTAGTCACTATATCTAGATATTATCAGTGATCATCATTGTTACTTAAAATAGACTACCACTAGATTTCCATTTCCATGTTTTCACTCTAGCCAGGCATTCTTAAACCTAGGCTCTGATACCAAACTGTCACGTCCCAATTTCAATAAAGGGTTCCCTCACCCAAAACATTACATGGCATGACTAAAACTTAAATCTCATCATGAACCAAAATAAAAACCAATAACTAAATTATTTACTAGAAATAAGTAACCTTACATAAAAGGAGAAGATATGGTGTTTCATACGAACAACGAGGAATAAAATCCTTTAGTTACATTATTCCACTCTAAAATGTCTTGCATACAATAGAAATAAACTAAACATTTATTAAGTAAGCTTGTTATAGCAACATCAATTCTGCTCCATAGGCGCCTTACCTGAAATGTTAAATAAAGGGTGAGCTCAGAGCTCAATAAGTAATAAATTCTTACTACACCTTACAAACAGTTGTACAATATATCATAGCAAAATATTTTCTAAACCTTCTCCTCTTATAACTTTATTATATAAAGTAATTAGCTTCCCAGCTTAAATAATTAAGGAACCATTAACCTTCCAATAATTAATCAATTACTTTCACAAGTACTTGCTTGAATTACGGTATTTTGGTTAAGGAACAAATCCAACCCATAGGTAAGGAACAAATCCAACCCATAAGTAAGGAACAAATCCAACCTGCCAGTATGGGGTAAGGAACAAATCCAACCAACCAAAAATAGGTAAGGAACGAATCCCACCTTTCAGTATGTAGTAAGGAACGTATCCAGTCAACCAAACATAGATAAGGAACAAATCCTGCCATCGCTTCCAATTATGAAATGAGTAGTACTTATAAAAATCTTTAAGTACTTAGATTATATCTTCGTATACCCATCACAATCCAACATAATTAATCAAATAATTAATTAACAACAATTCTTATCTCTCTCACAAAGATCTAGCGTAAAACTTTTTGGAACTATTTAATCAAATAGACCCAAAAACCCATCTATTAACTTAATTCCAATTTCTATACGATTAACCACACCCCAAAATAAATTGCAGGTAGTTATTAGAAGATTCTCTGATATCAATAGCTCTATTTATCTTATTTCCCACAAATAAAACAACATACAGAACTATTATGTATTAATTTAAAATCAGTAGCCCAGTCCACCAGTCAGGATTACTAATTTAATCTCCATAACTTTTGCTAACATTTAATATCATATACTTTCCTCTATGATGTCTGCACATCCAATTTCCAGTTAAATTACCATTAAAATCTCCAAGTTCAACAACCTCAAATCTATATCCTCAATTCAAGCCTAATAGGTAAATTCTAAAGATTTGACCTCAATGATGAAATATTAAGGTTCAGAAATTAAATGCTCACCTTCATACAAAAATCCAGTAGTCTAATTCCTTGGCAACCTATTTCAAATCACATCATGTCACCACCCAAAAATCACCATTTGAACTACTGAATTACAGTAACAAAGTTAATATGCTCTCACAGACACACACATATCTATTTATATATATATGGAATCAGAGAATTACAAATCCTACCTAAATTACTATCAGACCATACTTAGCTATCATTAACCCAAGTCTTTCTGATTTCTTTGTGTATATGTACATTCATACAAGGATATATATATACATATATATATAATCATGAAATCAAATATTCCATATAAATCAATTAAAATAGAAACAACATCCCTCGGAATAACCAGAGATTTAATTCGCCTAAAACTCTGTCATTAATTCCTAATGGAGATTCCAAAGATTCATCAAGGTAAGAGAGTAATTTTTCCGCACTCAAGGATTCACCCACTAAAATCCACACAATATCATGCATCATTGTTAACTCACCATTAAAATAAAACCAAAATACCGTACAAATGGAAATAAAATATAGAAAGGTTTACTTGCCTTCTAACTCTTCTGAGACGTAACTATTTCCAGAAGATTTCCTTCACATTGAAACTTCCTTCTCCTTCTCTACTTGTAACTCTTCATATATTGAAGATTTTCCTTCTTATTTTGGAAACAACTCCTATATAGAAGACATTACTCTTAGACCTCCCTTGACGGTTTATAATGGTCTATATCATGGTCAGTTGGAGATATTTCTGCCATCGTGAGAGAGAATCTCGATATATGATTCACATTCTTTTTAAAACAAATAAATAAATATGCATTTATCCTTCTATAAATCCTTATTTATCCATATCTATATATATATCGTGCGTGTGTATATAAATATATATATACACGTTTACTAATATTTACTGACAAGCTAATTATAAATATATGTATATATTTAAAATTAAATAAAAAAAAATAGTGGATGTTACAGCTTGGAAGTTGAAAATGAATTGAAGTTGCTTAAGGACTCTTCGTGAAATCTTTCTAACTCAAGCTCTAGCTAAATTGTCGGCCCTCGTGGAGGCTTATGTTTCATTTCTTAGATAAATCGTGAGCCCGCATGGAGGCTATTTACTTTTCTTTGCATATTGTTCAAGAATGGGAGTATAAGATCATTGTATGTGGAGATTTGTTGCGGGGGCGAAGTGCTTGGTTAGATGATGTCATTGTTGTGTTTCTTGAATTTTGTGTGGTCTTAACCAACCCATTATCATAATCAATGGAAAATCTAGATGCTCATCTTGGTTATTTAGACCCAAACTTCATGGAGCATCCTCCTTTCAACCAATTTCCTCCCGGAGTTCAAGATCCAATTCTCCCAATGATCCTTCGTGATCATTATAATCTTCATGAATATCATGCACCAACTTGCATCATGCTTCCTAATTTTGAGGCCAATCTATATGAGATTAAGCCCGAGACCATTCAAATGTGTTCACTTTTTTATGGCTTAGATGATGAGGAGCCATATAAACATCTTGATGAATTTCTTGAAATATGCTCCACTGTGAGGTATATGAATGTCCCAGAGGAAGTTCTTAAGTTACTTCTCTTCCCTTTTACTCTTAAAAATAAGACTAAGCATTGGTTCAACAACTTAGGGGCGAATTCAATAACTTCTTGGTTACAAATGCAAAATGAATTTTTTTCAAAAATTTACCCCATGAGTTTGACCAATGTTATGCGAACTTCTATTTGTGAATTTTCTCAAAGGGAAGGAGAACTTTTACATGAGGCTTGGGAAAGATTGAATGACTTGCTAAAAAAGTGTCCACATCATGGTATTCCAAAATGGCAAGTTGTCCAATATTTCTATGAAAGCCTATCCGACACTCACAAGGACATAATTGATACCTCATGTGGAGGATCATATTTTGGGAAGCATGAAGATGATGTTTGGCACCTTTTTGAGAAAATGAGTGAAAATTCATTGCATAAATGTCACACTTCTCGGTTGAGTCATTATTCTAATAACAAAAAGAAAAATTTGAAAGTATGTCAAATTGGAAGTCCAATGGAGATTGTTGCCAAGGTCAAAACTCTAACTCAAAAACTTGATCAATTGTTATTAAGTTAAAAACCGACAAAACAATCATCTCCTCTTCTTAATCATCATCTTCATCATTCTTGTGAGCCATGCATGACTTGTTCAAGTGTATTGCATCCTACTTCCAATTATCCCCATAGACATGTGCTTGATGAACATTATGAACAAGTCAATGCCACATTTGCTCACCCTCTTTCGAATGCTTATGTTCCGGTGTTGAGTGAGCATTCAAATCCTTTTCAAGCTAAAAATTTTCAAAACCGATTCCTCCTCACCAAAGAAATAGAGGCTCAAAAGGATTCGTCTCATCTTCTTCTTTTCATCAAAGAATGGACCATTTCTCTCATCCTTAAGCTTATAATCCTCAAAGTAACTTTAATCACCCTCATGCACTCTTTAGCAACCCCACATTTGAAGATAAAGTCTTAGTAGCTTTGGGTAGTTTGGAAATAAACACCAATTTGTTGCATTCTCATTCTCAATTGATATCAAAGCTTGAGTCTCAAATCGGGATGATAGCTAATGCATTGAATGCGAGTGAAATTGGTAAATTGCCTAGTCAACCCGAAAGGAACCCAAAAGCTCAACATTTGTGGAAGCAAACTCCACATCGGAGTGTCTTTCCCAAGAGCATGTGCAAGAAATTACTACTTTAAGAAGTGGTAGACAAGTTGACAATAGGGTTGAACAACCAAGTAAAGACAGTGAACCGGTGCAACCAAAAGTTGACACCCGTCCCATTTCCAATCCTATCCCTACTACCTTGGATGAGCATGGCCCTAGAGGGAATTCTCAACCTTCTTCATCATCCCCTCAAGTTGCAAAGTCTTATGAGCTAAAAGCTCCATTTCCTAATGCTTTGAAAGAAACTTCGATCACCTTTTGGGAGGCAAGAGGGAAAAATCCATGACATGATGGAAGTATTCAAACAAGTTAACATAAATCTCCCTCTCTTGGATGCAATTAGGCAAATTCTGCCTTATGCAAAAATTTTGAAAGAGCGTTGCACACAAAAGAGGAAGAGCAAGGGACAAGGCCCTAAAAAAGTGTTCCTGACGGAGCAAGTGAGCTCCATCATCCAACATAACACTCCACCTAAGTTCAAAGATCTTGGTGCTCTGACCATCTCATGTGTAATTGGAACCCATGAAGTTCGTAGAGCTCTTCTTGACTTAAGGGCAAGTGTCAATTTGATTCTTTACTCCGTATATGTCCAACTAGGTTTGAATGAATTGAAGCCAACCTTGGTGGTGCTTCAATTGGCCGAGATCCGTTAAAACACCTAGGGGCATGATTGAGGACATACTCATAAAGGTTGATAAGTTTTATTTCCCGGTTGATTTCGTAGTTCTTGATACCGAACCAGTTGCAAATCCCACCAATCACATCCCCATTAACTTAGGAAGGCCATTTCTTCCTACCTCAAATGCTACCATTAATTGTAGATCCGGTGTCATGGACCTTTCTTTTGGTAATATGATGGTTAAACTTAATGTTTTCAATGCAAGTCGACATCCCATAGATGAAGACGAGTGTTGTCTCATAGATGTCTTGGATGAGGTTGTTGAGGAATCTATTCCTACCATGGTCATGAAACAACCAACCGAGGATAATTTTTCATCTCTTCTTTCTGAGGACCCTCTTGCATCTTGTCTTCTTGAAATTTATGGTAATTGTGGGTTTGATAGTGAAGGGTCAATGAATGAAGTTAATAATCTAATGGAATCCGTTGCAAGTTTGGATTTTTCACCTTGGAAAGATCCAAAAGAACCTCTCCCTCCACTCTCTAGCACTCCATCGGTTCCATTTCTAGTCTCTCCACCCACTCTTGAGCTTAAAACTCTCCCTCCCGATCTTAAATATGCCTTCCTAGGCCCCAAAGAGACTTTTCTGGTCATCATCTCTTCAAATCTTGAAAAAGATCAAGAGAATTCTCTTTTGAATGTGCTTAAAGAAAATAAGGAAGCCATAGGATGGAGTGTGGCGGATCTTAAAGGAATTGATCATTTCATTTGTATGCATCACATTCTTATGGAAGAATATGCAAAACCTTTTAGAGATACCTGAAGAAGATTAAATCCAAACATGAAAGAAGTGGTTAAGAAAGAAGTAGTTAAGCTCTTAGATGCCGGTATCATTTATCCAATCTCTGATAGCAAATGGGTGAGTCCAACTCAAGTAGTTCCCAAGAAATCGGGGATTACGGTGGTTGAAAACGTAAAAGGTGAGGCAATTTCTAAGCGTACTGCCAATTCATGGCGAGTATGCATTGATTACCGAAAATTGAATGCCGCTACTAGAAAAGATCACTTCCCTTTGCCATTTATTGATCAAATCTTAGAGAGATTGGCTGGGCAACAATACTATTGCTTTCTTGATGGCTATTCGGGTTACAATCAAGTAGCCCTTGACCCCTTAGACCAAGAGAAAACCATCTTTACTTGTCCTTTCGACACATTTGCTTATAGACGGATGCCATTTGGTTTGTGCAATGCCCCTGCCACATTTCAAAGGTGTATGATGTCAATTTTTTCAGATATGGTGGAAGAGTATCTAAAGGTCTTTATGGATGATTTTTCTGTCTTTGGGTCTTCATTTGATGCATGCCTCAAAAATTTGAATTTAGTGCTTAAAAGATGTCGTGAAACAAACTTTGTTCTTAGTTGGGAAAAGAGCCATTTCATAGTTCAAGAAAGTATTATTTCGGGTCACGTCATCTCAAAAGGGGAATTGAAATGGATAAAGCGAAAGTTGAGCTCATTTCTGAATTGCCTCTACCTTCTACGGTGAGAGAAGTTCACTCATTTCTAGGTCATGCCGGCTTTTATCGCTGTTTCATCAAAGACTTTAGCAAAATTGCTAGACTCTTGTGCAATCTTCTCGCCAAGGAAACTCCTTTTGTCTTTAATCAAGCATGCCTTGATACTTTCCATAAATTGCATGACATGTTATCATCTGCTCCTATTATGCAACCTCCCAATTGGTCATTACCGTTTGAAATCATATGTGATGCTTCTGATTATGCCATGGGAGTAGTTTTGGGGCAAAGGGTAGGAAAGCTTCCATACGCTGTATATTATGCAAGCAGGACCCTCTTGGGAACTCAATTGAATTGCTTTACTATAGAGAAGGAATTACTTGCCGTAGTATATGCTCTTGACAAATTTCGGTTCTACCTCTTAGGGTCAAAGGTCATTATCTATTCTGATCATGTTGTTTTGAAGCACCTCTTGACTAAGAAGGAAACAAAGCCTCGTTTAATAAGATGGATTTTGCTCCTTCAGGAATTTGACTTTGAAATCAAATATAAGAAAGGTACTGAAAATGGTTGTCGATCATCTCTCAAGGTTGGTAGTTGAATCTTCCCTTAGCCCACCAATTCGTGATTCATTTCCTGATGAACAACTTTTTCAAGTTTCTAATGGACAAATGCCTTGGTTTGCCAACATTGTAAACTATTTGGCAATTGGCAAGCTTCCAACTACTTGGTCAAAGAACGAAAAGAACCGTTTCTTTGACAACATCTGGCATTACTATTGGGAAGACCTTGTCTTATACCGATATTGTCCAGATCAAATTGTGAAAAGATGCATTCCGGAGAGGGAAAGTTCAAGCGTTCTTGTGTTTTGTCATACTCTTGTATGTAATGGGCATTTTAGTGCAAAAAAGACCGTCTTGAAGGTTCTTCAAAGT